TGGTATAGATACTGCAATTTACGCCATTTTTTTGCTATACAGCGCTGCGCTAGTTTAACGGACAATTGCGCGGTCATGCAAAACGGTACATAAATGAAATTTACAACCTTTTTTTTCCCACAAATTGAGCTTTCTTTCGGTGGTATTTGATCGCCTGTGCGTTTTTTATTTTTTGCGCTATAAAAAAAAAAAGGCTGACAATTTTGAGGAAAAAAAACAATATTTTGGACTTTTTGCTATAAAACATGTCCAGTAAAAAAAAATTTTTAAAATCAAATTTAGTCATAAATGTCTGCCAAAATGTATTCTGTGACATGTCTTTGCTAAAAAAAAACCCAATACGTGTAAATTAATTGGTTTACGTGAAAGTTATAGCATTTACAAATGGCGGGACAGATACTGGGATTTTTAGTTTTTTTTAATACTAATAATGGCGGCGATCAGCAACTTATGGCGGCGATCAGTGACTTATGGCGGTGATCAGCGACTTATGGCGGGACTGCGGCGGGACATTCTGACATTGGGGGGTACTGACTTGGGGTCACTGACATCCCCAATGACACCAATACAGTGATCAGTGCAAAAAAAAAACACTGACACTGTACTAATGGCACTGGGGAGGAAGGGGTTAAGTTTATTATTCAGTGAAAGGGTTAACTGTGTGAGGGGAGTGTTTCACTAGGGGGCGGGGGTGTGTACTGCAGGGAACACCGCTGATCGGGACAGAGAAACTCTTCTGTCCCGATCAGCGTGTCCTGGAGCTGTCAGGGAACTGACAGAAAGCACAGCTACTGCAGCTGTGCTCTCTGTCAGCGATTGCTGCCGATCGCCGGGCCATAGCTGTGACCCGGCGACTGACATCCCCGGCTGTGATCGGCGGGACAGGTAGGGCGGCGTAATTTTGCCCAGCCGTGCCACCCTGCCGCTGTATTTCTACAGTGACTGGGCGGCATGTGGTTAAACCCAACAGCAATCAGTTACTATATAGCAGCTCACAAATTCTAAGATGTGATAGATGCATTAGTTTCCCTTTTTAGGTTTTCTTTCTTCAGTTTTCATCTGGTGAACCAGCCAGAAAGTCTGTGGTTTTTCAACAAAAAAGGATGAGACAGACCATTTAACACTGGAAGGGGTGGTAAAAATTCTCAGCTTTTATTTATTTATGTAAAACCTCTATGCTGATGACACCCAGATCTATCTCTCCACTCCCCAGCTCACCCCCTCAATCTCCTCACATATCACAAATCTACATTTGAGCATGGATGTCACATCACTACCTCAAACTCAATCTTTCAAAAACTGAGCTTGTAATATTTCCTCCTCCCTGATCCCCCACTCATGACTTTACCATTAAGATCAACAGCACTACCATTGGTCCTTCCCCTCATGCCAGGGTGCTAGGTGTAATCCTAGACTCTGACCTCTGCTTTGGGCCCACATCCACTCACTGGCTAAATCCTGCCGCCTCAACCTCCGGAACATTTCCAAAATCATCACCTTTCTGACCAATGACACCACAAAACAACTTAATCATGCCTTGGTTATATCCTGCCTCGATTACTGTAACTCCCTCCTCAACTGGTCTACCGTTACACAGGTTATCCCCCTTCAGTCTATTATGAATGCTGCTGCTAGACTCACACACCTTACCAACCGATCAGCAACTGCTGCCCCTCTCTGCCAATCCCTTCATTGGCTTCCACTAACCCAACGTATAAAATTCAAAATACTAACCACAGCTTACAAAGCCATCCACAACACTGCCCCTAGCTACATCGCCAACCTCACCTCCCCCTTCCTTTAGATTGTAAGCTCCACGAGCAGGGCCCTCATATTCCTTCTGTACTGAAATGTATTGTAATTGTACTGTCTCCCGTTATATTGTAAAGCGCTCAGCAAACTGTTAGCACTATATAAATCCTGTATAATAATAATAATAATAATAATAAACACAAATGGAAAAAAAAACTGCTGATACTGATTATTAAAGCGGAGTTCCACCCAAAAGGGGAAGTTCCACTTTAAAGATTGGTCCTCCGCTCCCCATTAAGGATTGGCACCTTTGGGGAGCGGGGGGGAACGGGTACCCGAATTTGACAGGTACCCGCTCCCACTTCTGCTGCGAACCCCTAGGCGATCGGAAATGGAAGTTGTCCTCCTACCCTCCCTCTCCGAAGTCTTGTGGGACACGTGACAGGTCTCAGAAGACGACGGGGCCATTCAGGAAGCGCAGAGCTACTCGTGCATGTGCAGTGGGCACCCGGCTGTGAAGCCCCAAGCTGTCCACACTGAAGATGCCGGCGCCTGGAATAGAGAATAACCAGTGAAAATGGCTGCAGCGGGGGCAACGCGGGATAGTGGGACAGGTGAGTGGCTGTTTTTTAAAAGTCAGCAGCTACAGTTTTTGTAGCTGCTGACTTTTATTTTTTTACAAAGTGAGTGGAACTCCACTTTAAGTATTAGCTGGAACTCAGCTTCAATTTGTTACTGTAGTTAAATTTGCTAGTACATCTAATACTCCCTTCCCCCCCAAATTGACAATGCTGCTGTCTGAATCTGCTTCCTATGCTTTCATCCTAGATTGTAAGTGCTAACGAGCAGGGCCCTCTGTTTCCTCTTGTACCAAATTATATTGTAACTATAATGTCTACCTTCATTTTGTAACGCGCTGCGCAAACTGTTGGCGCTATATAAATCCTGTATTATAACAATAATCCAGAGTGGTTTCTGTATAATATAAGAGGTGTGTTACTGGCCAGATGACCAGGTGAAAAAGCCTAAAAAGAAAATGAATGCAGACACCACATCTAACGATTGATAAGCATCAATATATTACATTTTTGGTTAAGTGTTTAATACTGCTTTAAACAGTATTAAACCCAAAAGAAAACATTATATTACAGCTTACCAATTCTTATTTGTGATGGCTGCATTAGTTTTCCTTTTTGTAGACTCTCTTTCTTCTAATTTCATCTTGTGATCTGGCTAGTAAGTCTGCTGTTTTCCAAAAGAACAAGCTCTCTTGCAGATTGTACCGGTTACAGAGATGAGATAAACCATTTAGCACTGACAGGGGTGTTTACAATGATCAGCGTTTATTTTTTTTAATGTAAAACCTTTATCCCAAAAGGGAAAAAAACTGTTTGTGTAACTGCTTATAAAGTATCAGCTAAAGTTTGGCTTCAATTTGTCAGTGTATTTAAATGTGCTCGTACATCTAACACTCTTCTCCCCCTGAAATGCTGCTGTTCAAATATGCCCCCTCCACCCCTTCATCCAGAGTGAGGGCACTCTACTACAGGGAGTGTATTACTGGTCAGATCAGCAGGTGAAAACAGAGGGGAAATTGCCTAAAAGAAAAACTAATGCATCCATCACATCTAAGAATTGGTAAGCTGCAATATATTGCATTTTTAGATTTAGGTTTAATACCAATTTTGTGGCTCCATGTACACTGGCTGCTAGAGGAGTTTGGTGTTTTGCCTGTAGAGGCAACTAATGTTATCCTGTGTCCATGCACATTAGGTAGTCTAGAGGCATTTCTCAGTGTTTGGAGACAGAACACTTTTTTGAGAGTGTTTTCTGGCAGAAAAAAGCCCCCAAACATTAAATACTCCTAAATGCTAGTACAAAAAACACTCAAAATTTGTGTTTTTTTTTTATGCCAAGAGCACTAGCGTATTTTAAGTTAGTGTGCATGGAGCCTTAGCATGGTGGCAAAGTTTAAAAAAAAAATATTCAGAAATGATTGTTACAATATACTGTATAGAAATGTTCAGTTGCAGTGTATAACTACTGTTACAAATTCCTTTTCTGATAATAGCCAATTCTGCATGATTGGACATTTCTCCAGTCTCTTTCAAGGTTTCCTAGCATGAGCCCTGAATGATGTAATCTCTGCAATGTAATACTTCAGTGATGTAATCATGTAATTTCAATGGTTATTTTTTATATCACGAAAAGATGAGCACTGGGGCCGGTAGTGGACAGCTCAGACAGAAAACGTTACATTCACAAAGCTTTAACATAAGGCTAAGGATGTTTATTTTAGCCTTGAGACTGTAATTTTCAAATATCCTTGGATTTAGCTAAAAAGGACTGCCATTTTTATTTAAAATAAGGTGCCCTTTTTGGTGTTTTAGTTATGTGAATTGCAACTAAAGTCAGTTCACAAGCCATAACCAGGGCAACTTGGATAGAGAGAGTAGATACAAATAAACAGCACATGTTCAGATAAACAGATAGAAAGTCTAGGATACAGCAGGTCAGGAAAAACACAGCAAAAAGGGCAAAAGACCAAAGTAGGAACACACAAGGTCTCAGAGTTCAAGTCAACACAGACTGTATAAGTACATGCTAATTTTAACAATCTTCTGAACTAGCCATTATTTCGCCCGCTTATCTAACATCTATGAGGTACCCACAGACACTGCTGCATGAGTTTTCTCGAAACATGTTAAAAAACTTGTTAGATCAGCACTGATTTCAGCTAATAAAGAAGCATTGGAGGTATCTACCATGTACCTCCCACGCCTCTACCCATACGTTAGAAAGCAAGAGTCTCCCTAGGCTACTTTGTCACTTGTCATTGGGCCAAACGAGCATTCATGTGCCAGTTCTGCTTCCATAAAATATTTTTTATTGCTGACACTTATTGCTTACCTGAGCCTGACAGGTGACCGTAGCAATGGCAGATAATCATTTAAGGCAAACTTTAGTCATGTACACCTATGTGCCCTGGTGTGCTTTATATACCAAGGCTGCCTTTAACTACCAGTTCTGCCTTGAAAATGGTGTAACTAAATACTGGACATTAGTCTTGGCATTCTATAAAAGCTTGTTCTCACCATGTGCATTGCCATGCATATTGCTGTATTGGCCAGTGCAAGCACTGCTCTCTACAGTTTGGTATTCTAGGAACGTTTGCCAAATTAAGGCATTAAAGTAAATAGAACCCCTTTGAAAATTCAACACAAGACACTGTAAATGTCATCATGTAGTTTGTTTGCATCATGTGTATACAGCTCTAATATATGTGTAGCACTTACCTCCACAGGAGACGCTTGATATGATGGGTTCTCTGTTCTGCCAAGACTCTATAAGCTACTTGGTTCCCATTGACACACCTGGTTATAGGTAGAGGACAGTTGTGTAATGTAAATTTTAATATGCTACCACTCTAATGGTGCACAGAAAATAGGCCACAAGCAACTTGATGGTAAGTAGAATATGTGTATAATAGCAAGGTAAAATAATACAAAGCACAAACCAATAAATGGGCAGAGATCATGTTAGAATATGTGAGTTTAACTAATTTGAATAGCCTTTAGTATGGAAATTAGCTTAGAACAAATTACCAATAAACCAAACTAACATGGATTCCACTGAGTTAATAAGGAACCGCATAAACAGTGAGGTAGTCATCCCATATTAACTCTGCAATTACTAAATTACTAAAGAAAGTGTCCTGGAGTGCACTCTGCAGCGATACCTGGTGCCTAGTGTGAAGCGTTAAGCCGGCTGACGTTGGGGCCCTTCTGTGAATTGGTGCCTATAAAACTGTCCTTTTAACAGTGTGCAATGGACGGCTAAGGGCTGCAAAATAAGGAACAGTCTCTATTGCACCAGCTGTGTAAGTGTTGAGATATGCACAGATGATTCAGCTCACCCCTCCAGGAATCCACACCAGATTACTTGGTGGTCTGTTGTCCTCAGGTACCCAGGACCCGATGACTCAGTCCTTATGAACAATTACACACAAGGCTAAGTCTACCAGCTCTGGTCCTTGCTGGTTCTCCCTTGCTGTAGGCACTCACAGCAACAGATCCTTTCAGCTCCAGTCCAAGCTCAGCATCAATCTCTCAATCTCTTAGTCCCACTGGTGCTATGCTCACACACCAGCAACAGGTCTGTGTCCTTCCTTAAGTAGGCAAAGACACCCCAGTGGTTTACACTCTCTGGTCCCCCAATGCAAGAGTGTCAGGGATCGCTGCGGCACATAGGTGTGCACATGCGCATATTGCCAAAACGCACTAATGCGTCCTAGTTGCAGTTGCAGCCGCCATGCGCACTCGCACTCACACACTGGCTTGTCACCAATGACAGCGCAGGGCACTATATTTAAATGCTCAAGTGCCGTATGGTCTTATTCCTGTGTTCCTGTTCCTAGTGCTGAGATTGCCTTGTTGCCGAACCTGCCTGACCCAGATTATCATGACCCTCTCCTGCCCTGATCCCTGGCTTGTCTGACCATTCTTCTGCCTTCTCCTGTTTACCTGACCTGACCTCCGGTTGCTGAACCTGGCCTGTGACCCGTTTATCCTTTTGCCTGCCGATCTGTATCGTCTGCCTCCACTGTTACCGACCTGGCCTGTCTGACTACGTTACACACTATCTCTTCACATCTGGCTCTCACCTGCTACCTACCACTGGTAAACCACCTCTACCTCAGTGGTTGCACTCGGGGGTCGCGACCTGGTCTCAGGCTGCTTCAAGTCCATTCCCACCATCAGGGGCTCTGGTGAAACAGCAGACTGGGGCTTAGATTCCGTGCCCTGGGGAATTCGGCCTGTGGGGCGTTAGAGGCTACTGCCAGTCGGTCCTTGACAAACAGACTGTGGTCTGTACAGCTCAGCTTCCTCTCCACAATATTTCCACCATGGCCCAGGAAAAAGTCCTGTGCCTCTCCTGCCTGTGTGCAGTGATTTGTGTCCTTTGTAGACCACAGCCCATTAGCCTCAATTCACTTCTGTTGTGCTGTGCCCCTTTAAGGACTACATATCCAAGAATCCGTGGTGGCTGGTGCATAGCACGTCCTCTTGCCTCTGATTGGCTTCGGTCTTCTGCTTCCAGGGGGAGGGAGGAGGAGCACGGGATTTCACACAGAGCCTGCTCTGCTCAAACAGCAGAGAAGTGAGCTGATTGCTGCATAACACACAGAAGTCCAGGCTCTGTCACTGCCTACGGATGGACAGAGAAGGCAAGCATCTTGGGTACATAAATGATGTATAACATGCAAGAAGACCTTTGCATGCATTGACTATTTATCCAATGCTTAATAAATAAATTAATAACTGTACACCCACCGGTCACTTTATTAGGTACACTTTGCTAGTACTGGGTTGGACCCCCTTTTGCCTTCAGAACTGCCTTAATTCTTCATGGCATAGATTCAACAAGGTGTAGAAAACATTCCTCAGAGATTATGGTCCATATTGACATGAGTTCATGTTGCTCTCTATCATCTTGAACCAGTCTGCCCATTCTTCTCTGATCTCTGACATCAACAAGGCATTTTCTTGCACACAACTGCCGCTTACTGGATATTTTTTCTCTTTTTCGAAACAATTCTCTGTAAACCCTGGAGATGGTTGTGTGTGAAAATCATAGTAGATCAGCAGTTTTTGAAATACTCAGATCCGCACCAACAACCATGCCACGTTCAAAGTCACTTAAATCCCCTTTCTTCCCCATTCTGGTGCTCAATTTGAACTTTAGCAAGTTGTCTTCACCAAGTTTACATGCCTAAATGCACTGAGTTGCTGACATGTGATTGGCTGATTAGCAATTTGCGTTACCAAGCAATTGAACAGGTGTACTTAATTAAGTGGTTGGCGAGAGTATGTTAGGGAAAGACAACTTTTCAGGTGCTGATGCCATACCACAAATTAATATCTATGGCTAGTCTTAAAATTCATTCTCAAATATCACTTCCCAAATAGGGAATGGCAACACTTAAATACAGCATCAAATGTTTAACTTATAGAAATTTATGTGTGCTTTTCATCCACGAGTCCACAAGTGTTCCATTGTTATGCATGTATGTAATTTATATATTGTATGCAGCTTTCAGTGTTAAGTAGGGAAGGGTGTGAACCTTTCTCATGTTTTTATTGGTGTTTTTATCCTAGTTCAAGAAGTCACTAGGATATGTAGTGAAATAGGAAGTGGTGGTCACAACTGTACCAACTGCGACCAGGCTTCAAGTTAGCCAACACGTTAGTTTCCAGCCCCTTTTACTGCAGACCACATTGCTGTTGTACTGTTCCCCTCCCCACTGTATGTATCGAATTCTGCCACACCAGTTCCTTATTATAGGTGCAGATGTTTTCAATGACAGAGAGTTAAAATAAGAAGAGGAGCTACAGTCTGCCTTATTATATACAGTATATTGTAGATATACATGAAGTATGAGATTGCAGATCTCCAATTGGGGTTCCACTCAGGAAACACCCTTCAATTATTCCTATAAATAAACCAATTTGTGTGCTATGACAACAACAGAAGGCAGAACTATGTCCACTGCAAACAAGAAGATTCGTCTTTCATCCATGTAGAGAAGTCAAACTAATAGTTAGTGTTGGCAGAAAAAAGTCTTGTTTATGTGTTGTCCCCACAAAGCCCTTTCTCAGTGTTGTGCCCTTAACTAAAAATCATTGTGTTTGCACCGTTCCATACTTAGCCATGTTTTACACTGGTGTGATTTCTGATGCGTTCCAGAATGCATGGAATTGTATGACAAGTGAATCAACATGAGTTTCTATGGAGGCCATTTATATATATATGCAGTGTGGTTCCAATGTGATTTTAAAAAGGGTCCTGTGCAAGTTTAGTACAGTGCGGTGCAATTTGTAGTTACATAAACTTGAATTGAAGTTGCTTCTCTGTCCTAAGATAACATTATTCTAGTACGTTTTCTGTAAGTCTTTGCTTTGTTCCTTATCTCCCATCTCTGGTCCATGGGAGAGAGAGAGAGAGAGAGAGAGAGAGAGAGAGAGAGAGTGAGACTGACTGAGAATGCTAGCAGGAAAATAGCATCACATATATGTGAACCCAAGTGTAATCTATGCGCTTGGAAATGTTATTTTTTGATCTATGTGGTCTTAATCATGATTAAAATAAAGAAAAAAGCAGTATGTTGTCATACCCTAGTGCAGTGGTCTCCAGAGTGTGGCCCTGTGGCCAGAAGTGGCCCTTTGCTTGCCTTTTTCCAGCCCTTGAGGCATTACACCTGCAAACCCAAATGCTCCTGCGCTTGTAAATGGACTCAACATAGGTTATAACTACATCTTGAATGTCCTGGAAAGTGCACGCCTTGCTGCCTTCAAAGGACCGGGGAAGTCCAAATACACTGGATGCAAAGAAAACAAACAGAGGGCGCACCGGCTTGGTGCTTTACCTTAAAAAAACATTTATTGATAAAAAATAATAGGTATTATACTCACAAATGGCAATAATGTCAAAGGCACATCATGAGAGAACAGCACTGTCCAATCCACATTACGTGACTATCCGAAAGGGGAATCCTGGACTTCCAACAGGCTACGCATTTCGAGGACGTCTCTTCCTCAGAGCCAGCCCCTGTATCTCTGGGACAGGAAGTTTAGGTATTCTCATGATTATTTCTTTTGTCTGTATTGGTATGACACAAAAAAGTGGAGAAACAAAAATATGACACATGCAATGCAAAACCGCAAAAATGGACTGGACAAAACTATTGGCACCTTCTCAAAATTGTAAGAAATAATTGCATTCCACGTTTGTGATGCTCCTGTAATTTGGATTAAACTCACCTGTATCAATTAACAAATCTTAATGTTCCACTGTGCACAACATTGTCAAGAAGTCTATAGCCCGTGGCACTGTAGCTAATCTCCCTGGACGTAGACAAAAGAGAAAAACTTGGTCAAAGATTGCAGCAAAGGATTGTTCAAATGATGGATAAAGAACCTCTATCAACTTCCAAACAAATTCAAGATGACCTTCAGGCACAGGGTACAACTGTATCAGCTTGCACTATACGTCACAATCTGAATGAAAAGGGACACTAGTAGGAGCTCCAGGAAGACCTCACTGCTGACACAAACATAAAAAAGCCAGATTGCATTTTGCCAAATCTTACCTGAGGAATCTATTATCCTTTTGGGAGAATGTGCAATGGACAGACAAAACAAAATTACAGCTAAAAAAGTAAAGTCCATCATTCTACTGTTTTCAGAAAAAGCAATTTAAAGAATACAGTCCCTACAGTCAAACATGGTGGAGGTTCACTGATGTTTTGGGCTTTGCTGCTTCAGGCACTTGGTATCTTGACCGTGTGCATGGCATTATGAAATCTGAAGACTACCAAAGAATTCTGGGGTGCAATGTAGGGTTCAGTGTCAGAAAGTTGGGTCAGAGG